CATTTTGGGATGCAGGGGAATGGATTCAGGAGATAATACTAAGAGGAACCGAAGGTGGAGGAACCAAAGGTAATGAAAAGGAAGGACCAGGACAATTTGGGGAGAAATAAGTGAGGGAAAACAGGGATATAAAAGGAATTAACCAGTCCCATGTATATATGGGTTGTTCAGTAGGCTTGCCTGGCAATGATGTGCACCTGACTAGCACAGTCTGTCCTGTCTTTGTATTAAACTCGTTTCTAACTGTTTTCCCAGGTGACAAGAGTCTAGCTCGTGTGCATGGAGCTCTAAGAGCCAGCCCCTGCAGGGGATTTATGCATATATGAGCATATATGCAATGTGTGTCTGTGTGTGTTAGTGTGTGATCTCTAGCAAACAAGCCGGACTAGCCAGCACGCAGCATAAGCAGCTTGGGAGCCATGTGTCAGGGTGACCAGGAGGCTGGTTTGGAGAGACCAGAGAGCCTGTGAGTCAGCTACTGCAGGGACCAGCCTGTGAGTTGGCTACTGGAGCTCCAGGCCAGCAACTGGGGATGCCATGGGCCTGAGGTCATAGAGGCAGCTACTAGAGAAACCCAAACGCATGTGTGCAATGCAACTGAGAGATTAGGATTTCCACGGGCCAGCTGCAGGGAAGATAGGGAGTCTAAGGGCAGTTACTGGGAGATACACAGTGTATGTGTTCATGTGTGTCAATGTGAGTGTGCACCAGCAACCTGAGTGAGGCTCCTATGTCCAGGTGCAAGCAACTGGGGAGACCAGTGATCTAGGGCAGCTACTGAGCGAAGTGAATGCCCAAGGCAGTTACTGGAAGGTCCAAATTGTACATGTGTATATATATTCTTCACTAATAGACCTTTATCTTGATCAGCCAAGGAAGGGACCAGCCACTGGTGCTGCTTGGGTTTGCATGAGAGTCGTGCCTTCCACTTTTGCCGATCTGTATTGCTGACCATGTATATATGTATATGCACGTTGTGTGTGTGCATATGCCTGTTGGGAATACCTCGCTCAGCCTTGCTACTGACTGGACCTTGGCACATGGAGCAGCAGCAGCCTTGCACCTATTGGGCTACTGGATTTACAACTGCGAGCACTTATACGAGCAGTTGTGTCTGTGGGGCTGCAGGAAACAGTCTATTTACTTTCCTGAGCTCTCAGGGTGTCCTCATGGGCAGGCCAAATTGCAGGGATCACAGGAATATTTGTGCAAGAAGAAGAAAAGAGAAAAGTAGGTGGTGCTGGAACAAGATAGGAACTGCAGTCATGTCCACATGAACAGCATAGATAAACAGATAGGAGAGAAGGGTGTAACGCAGTTCAACGAACCTTGGACTTCCTTGGGAGTATTCATTTATTACTTTAAACATACAGAACAATTGACCCAGTTTCTTTCACTACCGGAGTAGGATAGAGTAAAGCCTTTACATTACCTCTAAAAGTCACACGCCGGGGTTTTCGCCTAGCAGGCTGCCGGGAGCCATGTGGCAGCGAAAGGTAACGTACAGCCTCAGTGCCAGCCTGCACACAAAGACAGGAGTGCAATCAGTGCCTGTGATTTCCTCTCACACCTGGAATAACCCCATTCTGCAGGCGGCAAAATGCAGCTACCTGCAGCCTCCAGTGAGCAGTGATGGCACGGGGCTTATTCAGCAGAACGTTAGTAAAAGAATAAGTATCTAATGATATATCATGCTATCTGCTGGTTACATTTGGTCAGATACATCTTACTGTTTCCCTCCCATCTAGAGCCCAAACAGTGAGTGCAAGGTGTCAAGAGCTGGATCAGGCCCTTTGTCAATCCACAAGTTCACACAGGTGTGATCATACTTTGTTTTACACATGCCAAACCACTGCAAGCTACTTCATTATATACAGGCATTGTTGCTGTTTTCTCACCAGAGGGAGGACACAACAAATGTTGCTGTCCAGATGCTAAGTAAAGCTCTCATTTGCTAGGTGCTGCATGAGGATATTGCGAAAAACATCCAGTTTAACTATTACAAAAAAAGCAAATAGAAATGTGTGTCTTTTTTATTTACACACAGAGGAATTTTTATACGTCTTGATCAAATGAATAGTAATTTGCCTAGCAGGTACCGGTCTGCCCCAAGGCAGGCTGTTTCCTTTCCTGCAACTCTGCCTCAGGCTATGCTGCCGACGGATTAGGATTTCTTGAGCTTGTTTCTCCTTTGCGTCCATAGGCAGGTTGTGCTGGCTATATGATGGTGCCTGAAACAGAAAGTGCAGCAATTGATTCTCTTTGCATATGTGCACGACAGAGTTGCAGACATGTCCAGGAGCAAAAGACTGCATTAGGTAGATATCTACAGTATTAAATACATATCTGAGCTTCATTGCCATATCTGGTCAAACCACAACTTAATATTGCCTTAAAACTGGGCTTTACTTTAGAACAAGCTTATGTATTTGTCTCTTATTTACTGATTTATTGTGTATATCTTTTGAAACTAGGGAAACTGTAATCTCTCTCAAAGAGAAAAGTCCATTTCAGTTTTAAAAACTTTCTTAAAGTGTAGGATCTGATTCTAATTTCACTTGTCTTTGTGAAATTAGTCTGGTGAACCAGAGCATCACCTAGCCTTAAAAGTTTAACATGAAATATTAAAGTTAGTACCATTTTACCTCCTATCTTTTATTTCCAAAAGCACACAATTCTTAATGCCACATAGGAAATGACTGGCACAAATGGACATTACTGTAATTGATTTTGAAGAGAGAAAGTTCATTTCAGTAATCTATGAGGCAAGTGTATATGCAAATTGTTTCTAGTAAGATAAGAAATTAATATCTTAGGGATAATTGGCCATGGCAAATCAAACAATATTAGAAAAGAATATCATATTAATAGTGACACATTTAAATGAGCAAAGCCTAGCATTTTCTAGCAAATGTGCGTTACATGAGTTATCTCAGTTTATCTGCATAACTTCAAGGTTACTGTCACATATCCTCTACCACACTTTGCTGTACGAGAGCACTCAGCTGTGTACTTAGGACACAGGACTGGATTAAATATTATACCTTGAACTGCATCATTTCAGTATAAACTTGTGCAAAACAAATCCTTGTTGAGATATTATATCCAGTCTATGAAGGAAGGAAGGAAGGAAGGAAGGAAGGAAGGAAAGAGAGAAAGAGAGAGAGAAAGAGAGAAAGAAAGAGAGAGAGAGAGAGAGAGAAAGAGAGAGAGAAAGAGAGAAAGAGAGAGAGAGAGAGAAAGAAAGAAAGAAAGAAAGAAAGAGAGAGAGAGAAAGAGGGAGAGAGAAAGAGAGAAGGAAAGAGAAAGAAAGAAAGAGAGAGAGAGACAGAAAGAGAGAAAGAAAGAAAGGGAGAAAGAAAGAGAGAGAGAGAGAGAGAGAAGGAGAGAAAGAGAGAAAGAGAGAGAGAAAGACAGAAAGAAAGAGAGAAAGAGAGAAAGAAAGAGAGAGAAAGCCTGTAAAATGAGGCTCTAGGGGCAGGGGGTTCTTTTCCTTTCCCCTCCTGTGGTGGAGGGAGGTAAACTCAGGGTGCGGATTTACCAGCCTGACTTTCAGCTGATCTGGGGCTATGCGATGTTCCCCACCAGCACTGAGCCCACCGCCTTGAACGTCCTCTACGGATGGTTTGCTTTAGCAATGTGCCCGTGCCTGCTCCAGCAAGCGCCAGTATTAGCCGCCCTATCAGCAGGATCACCGGAGTTACCATAGGAATATCGCACACACCAGCCCCTGCAGAAAGAGGTCATGGGCTGCTTGTGCCCAGAGGGGAGGACTTGGAAAGTCAAACTACACCAGAGGTGTTTGGCAGCTTCCCAAGGGCCATTTCCGAGGCACAGCAGCCCAACAGCGAGGGAAGTCTGACCTCTAGAGCTCGGTCCTGGATTTTCTTGTCCTTTTTTTCCCACTGTTATCAGGCTGAAAAGCTGAAGGAAAAAATCCTGTTGCCTGTTCTCCATCAAGGAGCAACTCCAGGCTATTTGTCCTTCCCAAGAGTCTCCAGTGAGAGCCGGGCAGGCCCAGCTGCTGCCACCAGCCACAAACTGCAATGCGAAGGAGGCCAGATGGGCCGCTTTGGTCTGCGCATAGGGAGTGACAGCAAGAGAGTGGCTTACACACCCTCTGTCGCACTTGGTAGAGATTATGCGCCAGGACATTCCTCATGGACAGCACCTCTGCATGTGAGAGCCAGTGCGTGTGCCGGTTTCTGCTGCTCCTGGAAAGAAAAGGGAGGATTTAATACAGTATTAGCAAGTTGCTTAAACACTACCCACCCAAACAAAGTACGATCTGGTTTGTGCTCTAGGGCAGAAGTATAGGAAGGGACTTTCACCGACCAGTGATACTATGAAATCAATCAAGGCTGAATGAAAACTGCCAGACCTTTTTTGCCCTTTCCTGAGTTTTGTCAATATACTGGCTAGTCAGAAAGGGCTCTGAGCCATCAAACAGCTCCCAGCAGAAACCATCCTTTCTTCTAAAGAGCTCCAGAAGGAAATTCATTTTTAAGAATGAGACTGGGTAAGAAACACTGGTATGTTCAGGAAAGCACTGCAAGTTTCTTCGCTTGCTTGAATAGGTTCTTCACCACAGTTGCCTTGCTATCTCATCATTTTTAACATCTTTGTGAAAGAGAAGAGCTTCCTTAATAAATAAACCCTGTCCTCATTAACAATGACAAGAACGTTATTGTCCAGGAAACTTGCTCTGTGCTCTGCTCTGAGGTGACTATATATAGAATTTCCTTGAGTGAGTCTGTTTCTTCATTTAAAATGAAAGAACTGCCTGAAAGATACTCATCTCGGATTCTTTTTTTTCAAACTGGGACAAGATGCCCATAGTCATTTGTAACTGTCCAGTCTTTTCACTGAAAAAAAAAAAAACACAATGGATGAGGGCTGCTGTGAAATGTTAACTGGGTTTGCTATATCAGTGAAAGTGAACCTGTGTGAGAGTTAGCATTCGGCTGAATTCCCAAGAAGAGAAAGGAGAAACAGACAGTCATCATCCAGGATGAACCACAGTTAGGGTTCATCTTGCTCTTTCTGTTTTTTTCCATGATCTGTTTTCTTTTTTATTTCCCTTTCCTTTCCTTTCCTTTCCTTTCCTTTCCTTTCCTTTCCTTTCTTCTCTCTCTTTTTAAAAAATGTAATTGTCAATCTGTATTCTTAGCTAAGTGATGTCCTTAAAGCAATGACTGCAAATTATGTGATTAAAGAATGGAATATTATCACTGTACAATATTGCCAAAGCTTTGTGTAAATTTTTACCTTTCTTAAACTAAAAAACAAAACAAACAAAAAAAACAAAAAAACTTCTAATAGTAGATTGATATAAAATTGAGTTTGTGCCCTAAAGACAGAAAAAGAGTCTGGAATTTTGCAAATATAGTTTATTTAACAAGATAACCCCTATTTTATAGTCTGCAATCTAACAAGATTGTCTTGAAAATTGGTAAAATCATCACGGACAGCTTGAATTCTACTCACTCTTACCATTAACCAGACAGGGAACATTGTTATTCTGGCCCTGTCCAAGATCCTTGGAATTTAAGAATTCACATTCCTAAAATATTTCAAGGTTTCTGAGTGTATGTTATTCTCCATCTGAACAAAACTGACATCTGTCAAATTTTGCATAAAGTAAGAAAGAGAGATAGGTTAAGGGATAGCATTAGCAAGCAAGAAGATAACATTAAGGCTAGAATAGGGTTTGTGATATTCCTCAGATGCAAGAGACCCATAAGCAAACTGTTGCACCAAGATGAGGTGATATCCAGCAGACTAAAGAGACAGTGACCCCCATGTGAGCATAAGGGGCAAGCAGAACACCTTCAAGACATCAGATTTCCTCAGTTGCAGACCTGACCATTCCACATGCCCATACAGGAAAAGTGGCCTGTCCTAAGGCATTTAATGCCTATTGTTTAGCTCTTAAAATGGCATGAATAAAATTTCTTGAGTTTCATCTGAGATGATGTAGCCTCAGAACAAACAGCATGAAGAAAATCTGCTTTGTTCTGAAGCACGATTAAAAATGTATATTCTTTTCATAAGGTTAAATATTAACACACCCAACTGATATACAGGTAGGTGTAGGTTTTACATTTTACAATATACAATACATATATATATAGATACACATAAACATCTTTTCCAGAAAAACCTGGGGTGTTACCAGACCCAAATAGCAATGCTTGCTGAAACTATTCCTTTGTTCTTATTGAACTTCCTGAATGTTAAGCAGAAAGCACAGCATGAGAGAGAGATGTGCAAGGAAAATACTGAACTGACAATATGCTGTTATAACTGACTACTTCTCTGTAGGGAATACTATGACAGCATCTCTTTCTTCTTAAGACATAGATATAGTTGATATATGGAGGAAATACAAATCCTTACAAAAACCTTGTAAGGCCACTTTTTATATATAATATCTCAAATTTTGAGCTCTACCACCTCTCCACTAATCCTTACTAGCCCTTGAAGGAAGTAACTTTCTTCAGGTATAGCCCTTGCACAACCGTATCATCACAAATGACAACAGTGCATTTGATTCTCATCTTGATATATTCTAAGATATATCAATATATCATATTGATATATTCTAAGTTTTATTCTTACCAAAGCTAGTACTGCAGCAATATGAAGCCATCATTAAGTAAATTCAGAGTAAAATCAGCCTCTCTAATGGGCATTTCTAAGGTATATTTCCCAAAATACAAATACATTTTTTACAATATCTGCTTGACTGTGCTTTTGTCTTTGAAATTTTTATTTATCAGAGTAGCATTCTCCAAACCATTACAACTAAAGGCTCTATTCTCATGCAAATGTGGATTCTTTGTTGTACAGTCCATGGATAAATTTCTCCAATCCACACTGTAAATGTTTAATGCGTGTTCGACACTCACTCCACCTGCAGGAATCCCACCATCATGAATAGAGTTTCAGATTTTGGAGTGAACCCAGAACAATTGAGATCTGACTTTACTGGCATAGAATATTTTTGTCCTGGTTTCTGAAGGCTGCAGAACTGATCAGAAGCACTGATGAGAAAAGATTCTCAGTAGGAAGGCACTGCAAATATAGTCTGAAACAAAATACATTGGAATTTGATCTCAAATTTGAACTTTTAAGGGTTGCTTGTTCATGGACAGATTTTTATATCCTCACTCAGGATAGGGACATTAGGTACCATCTCTCTAAATGAAAGCCATAAAACTGTTCACAAATTCCTCCATTTTGGAGCCATTCAGTCTTAAGCAGGCTTACTTAGTTGCCCAAGAGAGTGGAGATATAAGAACCACTGCATTGGCTCAGACCAAAGATCCAGCTAGCTCATCATCCTGCCTTTGACAGAGTTCAACCGTGGACACCAACTGAAAAACAGAACTAGGAAAACATGTATTTTCTTAAGATACTCTCTCACCCTCCAAAGATCATGACATTTCTGAGACACATGTTGTATTTTGTTTTTTAAATGTGTCATTTCGTTTTTTTTCAAAGGTTCTCTCTATAGCATCAGAGAGCATCAGGGGCTGATGCACAGTAAAATTCAATTACAGCCTGAGTACTGATTGCAAAACTCAATCCATCATATCATTGTGTATTTAGAATATTTTTCAATCTAAATTCTCAGCTGAGGAGTGACTTTCTGAACTGCATTAAAGCAATTTGTCTTTTTTTTTTCCCTCCATATCTCTTTCAAGAAAAGAGGAGGAAAGTGGTATGTTTGCCATAGATTTTCTACCAACCTTGTACATTTGCTCTTGGCTCAGAACAGCTAGGGGAATACAGTATAAGGGAGCCTGACAAACATAGCCATTTTCACTATAATCCATTCAGCAAAGAATGATTTAGAAAGAAAGGTGCTAGGTCTTATACCACACGCTAGTATCAGTCTCAAGCAAGACAATGAGTCTTGACATGATGAAGACAAGCAGCTTCAGGAGAATTCATTAATTCCAGTCATTATATCTTTTTGAGATGTGAACCTTTAAGCTTTCTGGTGTGGGGAGGGAGGACCGTAAAAGAGACAAAACATGATGAGCCCTGCTGGAGGCTGCTGCAAAATATCAACTGAAGGCCCACAGAAGCAGACCAGCAGCAGCTCATGATACTCATATATATATTCATCGTACCACTTCAGCACTGGCTATCATTGAAGAGAAAAATAATGAAAATGTCACATTTTTTAATTATCACTCAATTAACAAATATTCAGAATATGATGAGTACCAAAGTGCCAGCATAAAATAACAGCTCTTTGTAATTGTCTTGATTTGCTAGGCCTTCGTTAAAGTGATAAAATCATTCGTATGTTTACCCATTTTTTTAACCTTCTCTCCTGTACCCTGCTGTGGTTTGCAGAGGCCAATACTCACTGTGAAGACGTTGAGGGTGCTGTTGAGCTTATCATTCCACTCTCAGCCATCTCAATGGCCATTTTTATCTCCAACTTCTTGTACAATGACACAATGCTGGATTTAGGCAGGTGTTCCCGAATCAGGATTTTCTTCAGATACTTATTGTCAAACTTTTTAAATCTGCGAAGGAGACATTAAAAGCAAAGAATGGGTTTTTATGTCTGTGGGACAAGCTCATCTTCATTCAAATGCACACTTATATAATTTAGTGGTGGAAAGTGAATCTAAATTGGAGACACCTGTGGACTCCTGAAGGCCTCGTAAACAGAGACCTTTTGGGGGACATTTGGAATGGTCTACAGGTCCACACAGATTATAAAGACCGCTAGACAAAAGATGGAAACAAGTTGCAATCAAAGCAAAATAGAGGGCTGGCTGTGTGTTTTCATATAACACTGCCTCATTTGTAAGAAAAGAATATGGCCAGTCTCCGTGCTTTTGTACAAATGTTGTATTCTAATAGGGCATAACAGCAGCAGCTGCTCTTACAGTAATTCTGAACTATTCAGCCAGCCACCAATAATCCTCCAAATGGCTCAGTAGTTACAGTAGTTTGGGCCCATTATGCTGCTGATAATTTTAAATCCTGACGATTACAGTGGAGAAAATATATTGCTTTGTATTCTGAATAACAGAAAATTTGAATGGACCACAAAGTACTATATGCATGCATGCTGCAGATTATAAAATATCTGCTAATGTGTGACATAATTTGAATGCAAATGTATGTGCGTGTTTTGAAACAGGTATGTGCTTTCAGGCAGACCTTTTAGCAGAATAACAGAAGATCATCTTAGATGTTTCTTTCAAAGGAGTAGTTTACCACAGCAAGGTCACGTGGTCCACAGTGTTAGGAGAAGCACTATAGAGTTTATACATTTTGGCTTAACAAAGGCTTGTTTTTATCCTTACTCTAACAGCCCAAAGAGGAACACAAATATGTTTCCACCGGGATTAGAGCTCTTTATGTTTTCCTGTTTAACAGGGAGATAGATAGAGTGTCATTTCACTTATTTTTTCCATATAGACTGGACAAACATCTATGGTGTTTAATATAATCTTTCCTATATGAAATATTTTCATCTACATTATGATCTTTTTCATCTGCACCTGAACTGAAACACTACATTTAGGACTAATTTGGACAAATTTCTCTTATCATAGCTGTGCACACATATGAGATAAGGGGAAAGAATGTGTTTTATCTCTTTGAAATATGAAATGTAGATATGTGATTGGAATTACTGCTCCAAGAATTTGGTTAGCCTATTCACTGTATAGACACATAGATGGCGGCCACATGGTTGTTCTCTAGACAAGAGCCTAGAAATTTTGGGTCCAGATATGTGCCCTTGCTGGAGCTTTACTCCCTGTTGGGACAAGATAGGATGTAGAACGGCAGCTTTCTTCACCCTCCAATAGCCTGGTTTCCACAGACACGAAGGGAGTTATCATATGTACCAGCAGCTCCCCAGTCTGGATCACCTGAGTGCAATGCTCAGGGATGAGATAAAGTGCTTCTGCACAGAAATCTTGGTATAGCCTAATGAACTGCTTTTATTCCATATGGATATGGGGTGCTTGTGGAGAAGGATGATTATTCTATCCCCATATACTTCCTTCACGCACTAAAATGGTGGCCAATATGATCACAGGACTCCCTTGATAAAAGCATACAAAGCAAATAGCAGCTAAGAATGCCATGTATTCTCTTGACGATGCCTGGAAAATGCACAGTGCTTCACAAAAACCACCTCATTGTGCTTACAGAAGACATAACACTACTGTCATAACATTTCCCCAGTGTAGATCATATTAAAGGCAGTATCTGTGTATGCTAATGGATATTTACATTTGGCCATTTGCTTCAGTAATATTTTAACTATGACTGAATGCAAGACTTGTAAGGACAAATGACTAATTACTATTGAATCTGTATTTACCAACGGTGGAACATTTTTGCCATGGCCACTTACAATGAAGGGAAGCGAAGCACACTTTTCTTACTCTTTTCTTCCATTCTAAATCCAAGCCTAAAGGAGCATTGTCAGTTTAAGATCTTTGTCAAGGCTATGTTTGTAGGCTGTTTCCATGCCTGTAGTATGCATATATGTGCTATGTTTTTCTTTCAGAAGGCCTACTTTCTCCTTGTTTGTGTGGAAGCAACTTAGCAAACAATATATGGGCTCTGCATGCCTGAGACATAATGTTTACTCAGGAGTTTACTTTTTAAGAAGAGATAGGAAACCTCCCCAGTACTTCATGCTATGCTAGTTTTATGGATCACAAGATGTATTTCCTGATGTATTTATCTATTGCATTTTACATCATAGATGTGTTATTTTATTACAGTAGGCTGCAATAAGAGATGCTTACTTATCTCTCAGTTGATAGTGACTCCAGTGTCCACATATGTCTTCAATACCAGCCTTCAAGTGATCCATCAGCTAGAAGAACAAACACAGAAAGATTTTAAGTGGCCATTATGAGAAAATAATGTCATCACAAATAAGCAACTATTAACAGGATTTTGAGATTTTTAAAAGAGGTGATGAGGGAGCAAATTCTGAAAACATTTAGAGTTCTCTAAAAATCCAAGAAACGTCCTACTGTGGTATCTCCTATGTTCAGCTGCAGTGACAATAATTTGAACAAGGTGGCAAGTCTGTCAGTCTGCTATCATCTCACTGCACCCCAGCTTAAAAAACAGGCCCAAGGAAAGGACTGTGTCCAACGGAATATGATACAGATGATACTCTCTGCTTGGTGCTCTGTCTACAGAGACCAAAAATTAAATTATTGTTTCTGTCAGGCAAATTTCCTCTCCTCATGTGTCACTTCCCTGACAGGGGAGGGGTGCATGACCAGGAGCCTCACTCCCTCATCCTTGCCTTGACCTCTAAGCGCCCCAAGGATTCTGAATATTGTCCTGAACCTGGTCAGTTTATCACTGATAACTACCAGAATTTTCAGTTTTCTCCTGTGTGTTTCCAGAGTTATTGAAACAGTTTGAAAATGGACAATTGTTACACGCATACTGTTACATATGATGTTGTTAAACATGAATTCCTTTAAAAACTAACTGTAAAGATTTAAACAGCAAGAATTAATTTCACATCACGTTCAAATAAATTGAGATGCACTGATTTTTCTCATGTGTCTGCATTTCCTTAATTTTAAGGCACAATGTATCTGTTCACTTCAAATATGTTTCCTATAATGAGAAGGAAACCATATACGTGTATTTTTTAGAGTATTGTAGAGTCCATTTGACTGTAATTCTGTCAACTAATATTTTACATACTGGTAATCTGGAAAGTTAAAGCAAATGTTTGAGAAAGATAATTTCTCAGAAGAACTTGAAACCAAATTTGCAGACCAATGGTTCATATCACTTTAATTATAATGACTGATATAAAACTTTTCAAGTTTCAGTGTGGCAAGAATCAGACAGAGGATGGCAACAACGAAAGCTGACAAATATAGCTGGAAAGGAGGATGGATGTATTCTGTAAAGTCTGCTTTTATATATCTGTACTACCATGGCCACAAGGTTCCACATGTAAGGGCTAGAATGTAATACCTTCATCATTCCGCCTTTTCAAAAACTTACTCGCACATGAATTTCTTCGTTGACGGATTCCTTTTTGTTGGTCTTTCTAACATCTAGATATCTGACCAGTGGACCAATTGTGATTCCCTGTATTTGGAACAATGAGTTGAAATGTTAATTATCCTTTAGAAAAAGCAGAAAAGAGAAAAAAAAAAGGCAAAAAAGCAAAGAATTTTGTTTTAGTCAATCAGAAAAGTTGTGTCTTAGAAGAGTAACCTGTTACCTGCAGAGAGAGCTACAGAAAAGAATTTAAAAACAAACAAAATTTTAAAGTATGCATCAGGTTTTCTACTCAAAATTAGATTTATCAATGTTTTACCTATGTAAACGAACTCACCTATTCACAACTTTCACCAAAACCGCACTCATTAAAAACAAAACTTTATTTTAGGGTTCTTAAAGTCTTGAAACTTCTTACTTCAACATTTTCAGAATGAAAATTTTTTATATTATTTTGAAGCCATTTTTAGATGCTCCCTATTCTCTGCTGCATTAGTACAGGATCTAGCATTTAAAAAGGGGAAATTGAAAGAAAACTGTTTATCTATCTGAAACATTTTAGGTGAGATTTGAGCTCTTAACTGCAATTGCACAGAGTCTCATCAACACCCTCAATTATATGAGATACTTGTACAGCAAAAGAGAGAAAATGTCATTCAAGTTGTCTAGATAATTCAATTCTTCCTGGTACAGCACTGTAAACCAAGTAAAATAACACAGAGCACGTGAAGATACACTAGACTTTTGTTCTTACATATCTATATCTGACTTGTTTTCTTTAATATTCTTTTACTAAGATTTTCAAGCTGTTTCAGTCTGGTTCCAAGATGAATGAAGATAAATGTCAGAAGTTCAAATCTTACATAAGAGAGAATTACTGTCTTCTGTTCAGTTTTATAAGCAAGACTGGTAAGGAATAACTGTGCTGAAATGTAAAGTTAAAATGCTACTTATTTTGAATATATTATGAAGTGCATGTGCAGTGAAAAGAAAAGTTTCCGGAAACAGCAGATCCTTTTACCTGAACATTTTAGAAGACTGGGTTTTCAACATTTCTTCTGGATAAGTTATTCAATGATACCTAAAAAATCTTTAAAAGGTAATTATATAGTATAGGGCTAAATCTGGCCATAAATATCTCACTAAATCTGTCCATATTAGTTTGTCCTGGTTTAAGAGTAAATTTCATTGCAATCTGCACTATAAACATTTCAGTCAATTCCGTTATATACAAGCAGCTCATTAAGAAACCCACTCACCTGGAGGAACACAGTAAAGTATGTAACTACCAGAGTAGAAGTAATGAACAAGTTTTTCCTAGGGAAGAGATGCACTGGAAGCAAGAATGCAAGAGAGAAGCTACTGGCTCCTCGAAGGCCACTGTAGGAAATAATGAGCTGGTCTTTGAAGGTGAAGGGATACGTTCGGAATTTGTTACTGATGTAGAAGAGGGCAAATACACCTAGGTAGGAAGAAAACAACCAAAGAAACTGTTATTAAGCAGTCAGAAAAGAAAATTACTTCAAGCAACACACCATCTTCGCTCAGGAAGCTGTTGACAGGACTTTGACAGTTCGGGGCATTTGTGCCTGCTTTTTGACGAACTAAAGGAACTGTGAGAAATGTTATGGGGAAAAAAAGTGTTTTTGAAACTGCTTTATGTCTTAATTCACTTCCGTGGTTTAGAAGTACGATTAGACGAATATATTTACTACCTGTATTTATGTCACACAGTTCTTCTCTGAATTGTTCTGGAGACGTGATAAACCACCGGATGAGAGTTTTTCCTGTTCCTTCCCTTGCAATGTTTCCTGCTTTCTACACAATATCTACCCAAAGTGTTTGAACAGTGCTTCACCAGCAAGTCCTGTGGATAGGTTCACTGAGCAAAGAGTAAAAGCTTTTATTCTGGTTTATTCTCTCTTTACGTCACCGTCTCTTTGCTTCAATTTTTTTTTTAATGAAATGTTAAAATTAACGAAGCACCCTGTGGATATGTAAAGACTGCAACTTCTCTTTATAGATACATTTGGTGTGTTGCTTGATTTTCTCTTCTTGCCTTTGCCTTCCATGAGATGTGTCTCTCCTATGTTTGTATGGCAACTGTTATACTACTGATATAAATGCTGACAAGTTCAGTTAATCACTGGCATTATTGCATGTATTAGTCATTGATAAGCTCTGTGGATTGTTGCAGGTAAGGCCAGTAGCGATACCTAATTATTTAGGTTGCTGGTTGCTGCCTTATATCAGACCATTTTTTGTTACTTATGTTGGATGGTAACTGGTCAGGCTGAAACTCAGTAAAGGAGGTGTCACCCTCAAGCAAAATCACTTTACTTATTCAAATTTCAGACAAAACAATGCAAAAAAAATCAGAATGGATTTAGGGTAAAAATATTTTGGTCTTCCTCTGGAAAGCTCTAGCTCTTCTCTTGGTGCTGGAGAGTGATTTTTGTATCAAGAAAGCACCTTTTCTGTCTTTATTAGAAGGTTATCTCAAAGTGGCCTCCAAAAATAAGCCTTTAAAAAGCTGATGGTCAGGCTTGACTCAGCATGAACATGTAAAGTATTTCCTTCTTGCTGTGAATCCACCAGAATCACTTACACTGTGAGTATTTGTGTCACCTCTGCATTACAAGATTGTTTAGACACATGCACTTGAACCCTCACAGGCCCTGCAGAACCACAGAACAGTTGCAAAGGGAAGGGATGTCCAGAGATCATCTAGTGCACGCTGCTTCCTCCTGCAGGGTCGCATAGAGCAGGTTGCCCAGGATGCCGGTCCAGATGGCTTTTGAATGTCTCCAAGAATTGAAAGTTGACCAGGAGGTTAACAACCTCTTTGGGTAACCTGTTCCTCCTCTTTCCTCTTTTTCCTGTGGCTGAATGCCTTCCTCCAAGGCTCCCAGACCTTTGAAATTCAAAGATCTTGAAACTTCTATGGGTTTTGAGGAACAAGCCAGCATCTTCCTCCTGCTCTGTTACTCTGTTTGACAGAGGATGACCCACCTGAGAAGCAATTTAAGAAACAGCACCTTACTCGCAACTGTTGGATGCCAGTACTTAGCTGTTCACAAATGTTAGTCTCCAAGTAGAAAACCTTTGCAGATCATCTAGTCCAACTTCCGACTCAAAACAGCTTTAATCAGTTCAGGTTGCTCAGGGCTGCCCACGCTAAAGGAATCCCAGTCGGACAAATTAGGGAGCAGGAAATCTTTGCAGGAATTGAGAGGGATAGTGTGTAGAAACAGAATAACTTCAAATAGGCAATTTTTTTAGTAGTTTAACACTTCAAAGTCTGTACAAATTGACTTGTGAGGAACGTCAACATGGTGTGGTTGGCCTGCGCTGTGGCATAAGGAGGGAAATAGAGTCCTGAATTCACTCATCTATTAATATGCATCTTCCCTCTTTTTCCTCAGTCATTCCTGACCCACAGACCTTCAGTGCCATAGGACCAGAGGTGTGCTGATGTACATTATCTAATTAGTAAGTTAATTACAGTGTGTGATGAAATTATTATGAAGTCCACTTACCCAAGGGGATAGTTAACAAAGATGTCAGCATCTACATAGGCATAACATGGAAATATTTTAATTTTGTTTAAAATAGTTCATTCTGTTCAAATCATATAGTTAGTGCTTGCAGAATGGCATTGCTTGCAGATTCGTTTGGGGCATTTGCCCTCCTTCTCCTGCAAGCGTAGATTTGTGAAATGAATTTGTCAGTAACACACGCCTAGTAAACTCATTATTAAACCGGTTATACCAGTCTGCACAGGCTTTTCTAGCATACTTCTGCAGTGAAGCCTTTCTCTCAGAGATGCAGAACAGCTTGCCCGCAAAATCTGACTTACTCAGTGCCCGCCAAATGAGGCAGAAGAGCAGAGTGAAGCAAATGAAGGCCCAGTTCCACTCGTGGTTCTTCCCAACTGTCGACACTCCCATGAACATGAAAATCAGTGTCTCACTGACACTACTTAGCATCTTCATGAAGTATTTTATTGTCGTATAGGAATTCTGGGAAACATTTTCCTCCACGTATTTTTTCATCGTCACTGCACATGCTGTCATCCTGTACCATGCAAAACATCAGAGATCAGCAACAACTATGTCTTTGTCCTTGGATTTAAGAACAGCTTCAGCTCTCATCATCTGTGCTTCCCACTCTCTGTCACCAGCTTTTGCCCTTCCTAATACAAAGCAGAATTTTACTTCTTCAGTGATGTCAGTTATATGACCCTGGATAAAAGATGCACCTTAATTGAGCTTTCAAATCCATTTTGCATACAGGAAAAAGGAAGCAAATTAGCTAGCCTTCTCCAAGGGGAAGTGAGAGTATCACATTCTAGTTCAAAGTACATTTTATTCTGAGGGCGTAATGCACAAAGAACCAAATATTTGAGTGTCAAACAAAGAGCAATCAATTCTGTACCAGCCTGTGAGTGGGCAGATCAGTTAAAGGGGAATAATCTGCCACTCGGTGATCTTTTCCTTTGACCTGGTGGCAGAAGAGGACGGTGCTAGTTCAGCACTGGGCCCAAAACTCCTTGCTGTGCCCTACTAGGTGGCTGGCACATCAACAGCTGAAGGTTGAGCATCAGTCCTTCTCCACCCACTCTGGCTCATTTCTGTATGGCAGAGAAAATGCAGTCATCCTAGAGGCTGTCTTTCCTCCCTCTCAGTTGCCCAGCATGCCCAAGAAACCAAAGGAATATTTTCCATCAATTTGCTCTTCTATCAAGGCTAAAATATATTCAAAGGTATCAGCAACAACCCAGCACAGCTGCTGATACCATACGTCCTGAGCAGTACCTTGCTCTTCAAGCAATCCTACCAAAGACACTGAGATATGTAATGTGGTGGCATGTTCCCTCATCAATCGCAATATTTTACCTCTGTTTCCTGTGTTTCCAGTTAAACTGGACATTGAGCACCTAAGTATTCCTCTTCTCCCCTTCATTCTTCATAGCTGTAGACGAGCAGACAGATTCAGTTCTATACACTAGGAAAATATTTCACCATTCAGCTAACTAGCTCCTGTTGATGTTACCATAGTCTTTGGGGGCTTCTGTGTGGTGACATTTTTCTGAACTTGGGAATTCAAAGAATGGTGACAGCTCATTAAGGAATCCTTCATCTAGTTTCTACTCATTTTATTTCCACTGAAGCAATCTCATGGGCATACCCATGGAACTGAGACATTTAGCAGGTCCAAGGACATTCTAAGACAAGGCCATTAGGCATTAATGTTTAATATTGTTGACTTTCAGAGACATACGCATAATAGAGTTTCATGATCCAAGTGAAAAATGAATGAATTCCTCAATAATTCAGGAGGGTGACAAAAAGTTCCCATCCCTAAAACAAGCAGTAATTTCCTTAATGAAGCATAGAATTATAATAAATCCCCATTGTATTAACTTTCTCTTACTACTTTCACTATTCTAATAAAAATAAAAAACAAAAGAAATAAAGTGAATAAATATTATAGTGCAAGGAATAGGCAGGGAAGCAATGTGGTGAGCAGTGCATGTCCCTATGAGCCTTACATTTTCCACTGTTCCTATAGTATTAGTGCTCACTATATAGTAAGTCTCCAAAATATAGTAAGTCTCACCTGGCTCAAGTAAGGTCACCAGTCACCTTAATAAAAGCAAGCATGTAGGACTTGCAAAAAATAGTCGAAGATTTGAATCCTCTGTCTAATCATTAGCTCATAGGAACATATTTCCAACCTAATTACTTAACTGGGTTAAATAGTCAAATTATTAAATAATTCACCCATTGTTAGGTTAAACCTGTTCATCCTCCTTAGTGGAAATAATCCTTGGTCCTTCAGGAGGATCAGGGCTCACAATGCCCTTCTGTCCATCAGTGAACAAGTTCAGAGTAAAGGTTGCTGCCACCAATCCATTTCTTCATTACTCTAAGTTGCTGTTTGGCATAGTGTCGTTCAGATTCCCCTATCAGCCATTTCCTTGTAACTTCACTCACCGTTGCTTCCATTCCTTTGCCCTTCAAATTTTTTCCTACATCTGTCCTCTTTCCTTCCCAAAACGCCCCTTACTCAGCCTCCCATAATGACTGCTTTACTGATCAACCTGACAACCTTCCCTTTGCACTGGGCACACATGCAGCCACAGCACATTAAGAACACAGTCCTCTGCATTACAGTAGAAAGTTACCTCTACCACATCAAAGACATAAACTTCAGTATCCACATACATGACTATATGCACACATACACATGCACATATACACTGTGTGTATGTATATGCCTGGCATTTCTTGCCTGCTTTTGCCCTGTTTCAAATCCAGTGATGCTGTTCAAATTTAATGCAACTGCAGTATATCATGTTAAAGCTGATGTTCACAACTCTATACAGAAGCAAGAACACAGACTTTCTTTACTTTTTTCATATTAGCATTCTTTCTTCCCCCTTTTAACTTGATGATGATGATGTATAGAAATAAATACAGATACATTGGTCTATTATCAAATCATTCTCTTCTAAAACAAATGCTACCACATGAAACAAACTGCAGACGTAGGCCCAAAGATGACACCAGATGGTGGTAGCACTAGTCATCTTACCAAAAATCTTGCAATACTTTTTCCAACCAGAAAACACCTAAATATTTTTCAGATTAGATATCCACGCCTCTGCGTTAGAGTCCCATACTGACTATGGGCTTCCTTGTCCTAGTTACCACTGCACTTTATACAGCTCCTAACTCACTGCAGGTTGGCAGGCCATACACTGAAAACATTTGTATTATCCCAATCTCAACCAAAAAACACCTCCTTGAAAGAAAGCCTCTTCCTTTGTAAGGGTATCTGAAAAGTCATACTCACGCCAAAATGCCCGAGATGTAAAGGATTTCAGCAGACAGGTATGATAGATAGCTGAACATGAAGACTAGCAGGGGTTCGATAGCGGAAATGTTGTGGGTGAATCGAGTCATGAATGCTGAAACAAATCCGAAGACGATGCCAAAGAGCACACCACCAAGCCCAACCACAAAGAAGCGAGCAAATCCAGCAAGAATATCAATAGATTCGATCTCTTCATATCTGTGCATCTGGGTGAAGGCGATGAAGATGTTGTATAACACCTATACATGAAAACAATGAGACAGCAGTCAGATATCTTTCCATACCTGGCAGACTTGCACGCTTTTTATATATATACCCAGATGTTGCTTTCAACAACTCAGAAAAGTAACATTTGAAACCTCATCTGGATCTTAACAAGTCCAAGAGGTCTATCAGATGTCCTGCATGTAGCAAAAAAGTGTGGTAGAAAAGATGCCTAGATGGTTTCTTTAACGTAACTGGTAAATATCCTTGCTCCTTTTTTTTTTTTTTTTTCTTTGAAGACAAACTTCATTATTGACCTTTGCACTAGGTACCCTAATTACCCCAGGCTCTCCCTCACGTTTGCTTTCTGTTTCTAGATCTGGCAAGGCAGGGTAGTGACTAAGAATCACAATTTTGTCCTAACTCCCATTCAGGCAGTCTGTTGTGACCTGTAGATCAGACACACTTCATTGTATAGGCTTTGAAATATCAGATGTTTTTTCGGTAATACTTGATGTATAAAAATCATGAAAAGCATCACAACAGCAATGGGAAAGAAAGAGGGCCAAGCAGAGGGGACAGGAGCTTGTGGATTGCAAGTAGCATATTGCCTCTAGAGAGATACAACTGTTACTGTTTTATTATTGGTATTGGTAATAGTAGAGGTCATTTAATCAGAGTTTTAATGAGTTACTTTATTAGTACAGTAGTTATTGTTTATGCTGATTGATTCTTGGAAAAAACAACAACAACAACAGCAAGTGACTGTCACAAAGATTTTCAGTGCTAGAAATATTCAAATGACACTTTCTGAGCCTGGCTGAAAAAGGTCCTGCTCTGGTCCCAAACCTCTTCATTTTTGGCATTCTCTTTTAGGGCTGCCCCCAGGGACATGAGTAAACTGACAGTTTCCCAGCCCATCCTGCTCCTTACACATTTTCTATTAGTGTAGCAGCAGTGTCAGAGGGCAAGGTGCCTCTTAATGTCCTTTGCAGTAACTCTGTGTCAGTGCTGCCAGCCTCACAGCAGGCACTAAAAGCTCTTCTTGGGCTCTAAAGGCTTTTTAACACGTTTTGACCTGAAAGCTTGAAATGCAAAAGAAAACACTGTCAGATAACTGGAGAGATTGAATTTACTACCTTATACAGCTCAGTCTGTAGAGATAATTTCACTAAGTTTAGCTCAGACAGATGTATCACACATTAATTATTTCTGTTCTGCAGAGATTAATAATGAAAATTCTTTGGTATTTTGCACTTTCATCTATCTTTTAAAAGCTGTTAGAAGGCATCCACAGGAATGAACGGAGTAATAATAAAAAGGTCTTAGAGGCTGCTGACAGTTGGTTACCATTAAATCCTGCCAGGTTTATTTGCAGGGAACATTTACACAGAGAGGTTGCTTTTCAGTTTTCTAGGGAATGTTCAAAACATCTAACATCACCAATTCTCCACAGCTATTACACCAAAGTATTAGTCCCAAAAGCCATCTGGTACAAAACAGACCTAAACTACTTGTCTAATCTGAGTTCCTTTGGTCTTTCTTCTTCATATAGTTAATTTAAGAAAGCTATTAAGAAGCTTAAAGCAGATATTTGCAGGTAGAAGAATCAAGCTCATTAGGACAATAATCATACCCCAGCTATTATCTAATCTTAAATTGCTGCTGGGAACATATAACCTTGGGCTGTCACAAAGTCTTTTTTCCAGGAGGCTCACTGCTAGTATTTCTGGGAACAGATAAAGCACAACAAAATATTCCAGGTGAAAGCATTCTAAAAAAATAAGCAGAAATGTTTTTCCTGATGACTGTGTATGAACTTATGCTTTCAGTGGCAGAAAAGAGAAATAAGGCTCATGTCTCAACTGAAAAAAAAAAACTTATTGTATTTACTAAAGTGTTTAATTACAAAGCCTGCTCTTTCTGCTCTCCTTTTCTCGTTGACTATAAATTCTGGCTAAGTCTTAGGTATCTTTCTACCTGGGACCAAGGTAAGGAACAGTGCTCAGTTTTCAGAAGTCAAATTGTCACCAGCAAGTGACTAAGTGTTTTTGTGTGTTTGTTTTGTTTTGTTTTTATGGCTCCTAAAATGTATAATAACAGAATTTCCCTATTTGTGATCTGCCTTGTGGGAATAAACTGTTTTGTATGACATCCTGGATTGGTCACCATACAAGTAAGGTGGAATGTAAATGCTGTTTGTAATGTTTCTACCAGTAAGTGGATTATTTGTAATTTAAATTTTAAAATATTTAAATATTTAAATAAAATATTTAAATAATTTAATTTAATTTCATTATTCTTTAACTGGTAGGAAAGCCTGGATCCACTTAGAA